TCTTAATTCTTCTCTTTCTCACATGCCATATCCAATCCATAAGCAAATCCTGTTGTCTCTATCTCAAAATACATCCAGGATATGACCATTTCTCACTACCTCTACTGCTACCACCCTAGTCTCTCACCAAGATTACTGCAATAGCCTGCTTCACTTTTGCCCTCTATAATCTATTATTAACCTAGCAGCTAGCATTAGTCTGTCAAAACCTAACGTAGATCATATCATTCATCTACTCAAAAGCCAGCAGCAGGAGCATGCCTTTACTCTCAGCTACTTCGGAAGCAGAACAAGAGGATAACTTGAGTCCAGGAGTTTAAGTCACCCTGGGCAACATACCAAGACCCTGTACCTAAAAAATAAGCAAACTAAACACTCAAAACTATTCCCCATCTCACTCAGAATAAAAATCCCATGTGGTTATAATGGCCTACCATGGTCACATGAACTGGCTCATTATTATTTCTGATTTCATCTACTACAACTTCTTTCACAGTCTACTCTAGCCACAATGGCCTGCTTGCTGTTGATCCAACACAGGGTGCCACTCTGGGGCCCTTTATAATGGCTGTTTCCTCTGTCTGGAACATCTCTCCCCCACCCCCAACTCCTGCACGGCTCACCATTCCCTAACCTCCTTTGTGTCTTGGTTCGGGTATGATCTTCCTTACCCAGACCACCCAATTTAAAACTGCCAACGTTCCTGCTCATTGATCACCCTTATCCTATAATACCTTTCCTTTTTCCCAAAGCTACTGTCACTTTGTAAGCTATTACATAACTTATTATGTATATTGTCCATTAAGGATCTCTGCTTTGTTCACTGATGTATCTCAAATACCTAGGACAATGCTCAGTACACATAACAGGTGTTCAACAAAGACCTTCTGAATGAATAAATTTTTGGATAACTGTGACGGGTACAGTAGTGGTTAAAGACTTTACATACACTATTTCAGTTACTCTCAACAGCAACCCTGAGAAGTATCCATTAATCTCATTTTACAACTGAGGATTATAATAATTAAACATGCCCAAAGTTACATCATAGTAAATGCAGAAGCCAGAACTTAACTCAATTTTGCCTAATTCTAAAGCCTTAACAACTATAGTTCCTCAAAGCTGCATATGAACGGGACGAGAACTAAGCTGCTTCAGGAGGTAACTCAGTTGAAAGAATATGAAAGAACACACTGATATGGAATCCAACATAAGGAACAGAGGCAAATAATTAACATTTGGAGAAGTTCCTTCAATTTTCTTTGCTTCCAGTCCTAGTCCTGTGGGGACAGAAACAAAACCTTATGGTTATAAGAAACAGACCATAAAAAGAGAAAAGAAATTCGAGACCCCACAGTTTGGGCTCCATGGATGAGAAAACACAGGGCAATGCCTTTTCTCCAAATTCACTGGAGAACTTTATTACAGTGGCATGGAACAGTGCAGCAGGAGTTTTTGCCTTAAAATGCTTTTTTTTCTAGAAAAAAAGTACAGAAGTAGTACAGATGTTGGCAAAATTTTATTTGAGAAATACATGATCTATGCATAACATTTACAGATTTACATCTGAGGGAAAGATACTGATTTCTACCAGTGTCATCATTTATGGAATACAGCCACACTCAATTGTTTACATATTGTCTACGGCCCTTTCACACCACAACAGCAGAATTAAGTAGTTACAGAGATGAGTAGTTGTGACAGAGACTGAAAGCCTGCAAAACTGAAAACATTCACATTTGTCACTTCACAGAAAAAAAAACTTCTAAAACCAGAATTTAAAAAATGTACATTTCCTAATAGCTTGCATCAGTTCTACCATTCTTCCTAATAGAATTAAAAACATATCTTTTTAATACACTCATGCATTGCTTTGACAACGTTTCAGCCTACAATGGATCATATATATGACAGTAGTCCTGTAAGATTACAATGAATCTGAAAAATTCCTATTGCCTAGTGACATCATAGCTATTTTAACATTGTAGTGCAATTGCTTAATTTTTATAAGCAATTTTGTGTGTCCTAAGCATACTGTGTTTATAAAATCTACAGAACCACATTCATTCACCACTTACTCAAGTGACTGACCCAGAGCAACTTCCAGTCCTGCAAGCTCCATTCAAAACCATTTTTTTAATATTGTATTTTTACCATGTCTTTTCTATGTTTAGATACATGAAGATACACAAATACTTACCATTGTGTTACAGTTGACTACAGTATTCAGTATAGTAACATGCTGTGCAGTATAGGTTTGTAGCCTAGGAGCAACAGACTATACCATATAGCCTAAGCGTGTAGCAGGCTATACCACCTAGGTCTAAGTATGCTCTATATATACACAATGATAAAAATCACCTAGCAACACATTTCCCAGAACATATCCCTGCCATTAAGCGACACATGACTGTACTAGAACAAACCATCTCACATTTTTGTTATTTTGGTCATATAATTAAAAACATCTCAATGGCTTAAGTCCAAGGATAACGTGGTCTTCACACTAGTCAAGCAGTATCATTAAATTAATTCAAGCAAACTTAACTTCTGGTAGCGTTAACAACCCATTTATTAGTTATTAAATACTGGAAGACCTCAGTAACACTAAGATGACGCTCTTGAAGCATTAAAATAGTTTTGGGCTAAAGCTGACAAAAAAAAAATTTGTATGTCTTTAGTATCTGAGCTACCACATTAAACAAACTTTAAAGTATTCAAACAAGAAAAAATAATAATTTCAATGGTCACACATACACGCATCAGAAGGACCAAAAAAACAACAATCCTACAAGGACTTCTCAAATTCTTCCTTATATACTGTGTAAGAATTACCAAATAGTAAAATCTGGAACATTCACTTTTAGTTTTCCAAGCCAACAAACTAATACACAGGAAAGCAAACCGCTTGCTTATTACTCATTTTTTAAAATCTTATAATCTATTTTCCCTTTTCCAATTCAAAGATTGTTTTGTCATGCACAAAAGAGCAAATCTAATTCCATAAAATTGGAGAAAACAAAAAATTCTTAATTTTATATATACATATATACACATACATACACACTATACACATACACATACACACATACACGTATATATATGTATATATGTATATACACACACAAGATTAAAAATCTTTTTCCTAATACAAAATCCTTTTAATTTTCTCAAAGGAATAGTTAGACATTTCTCACGTTACATAAATGTGGCAGGTTATGCCATTCATGATGACACTGAGAAAACTAACTTAATACGTTGATAAAAACAGGTACAAAAACACACTGCGAAACAAACCCAGAAAAAATAATGAGTATAAAACTGGATCCAAAAGGGTGTTTTGAGTATAAAACTAGATTTAAAAGAGTGTTTCTTCTTTAAAAATTTTACTTTAAGAAGTCAACTCCTTGACTTCTCAATCAAGGATCAACCAATCCAAGATGCTATTCATTAAACTTTCACCAGGCCGGGTGCAGTGGCTCACTCCTGTAATCCCAGCATTTTGGGAGGCAAAGGCGGGCGGATCACATGGTCAGGAGTTCAATACCAGCCTGACCAATATGGTGAAACCCTGTCTCTACTAAAAATACAAAAAATGGCCGGGCGCGGTGGCTCAAGCCTGTAATCCCAGTACTTTGGGAGGCCGAGACGGGCGGATCAGGAGGTCAGGAGATCGAGACCATCCCGGCTAACACGGTGAAACCCCGTCTCTACTAAAAAAAATACAAAAAAAAAACTAGCCGGGCGAGGTGGCGGGCGCCTGTAGTCCCAGCTACTCGGGAGGCTGAGGCAGGAGAATGGCGTAAACCCAGGAGGCGGACTTGCAGTGAGCTGAGATCCGGCCATTGCACTCTAGCCTGGGCAACAGAGCGAGACTCCATCTCAAAAAAAAAAAAAAAAAAATTAGCCTGTGGGTGGCACACGCCTGTAATCCCAGCTACTCAGGGAGGCTGAGGGAAGAACAGCTTAAAACCCAGGAGGTGGAGGTTGCTGTGAGCCAAGATCACGCCACTACACTCCTGCCCGGGCAACAGAGAGAGACTCCATCTCAAAAAAAAAAAAAAAAAAATCACCCAAATCAAAATCATAATACATTTAACGTAGACTTGAAATAAGGCTCTCAGCTTAAACATTTTACCTATATTTTTGTATCTTTAATCTAAACTTCTAACATCAAAACTGTAAGACATGTTCCCAGAAACTTTTTCTCAAAACAAAAAATACATATTTCTGAGTTAAAATTTTCAGTTTTTTCTCAAATGTAAATTTGCTCTGTTAATGGAATTAAAAAGTTACCTATGAGATACTTCTAAATACTATTAATTTTTAAACCTAGAGAGCTTTTTTTTCCATTCACCTCTTAATTTTATTTTTATAGCACTATACTTACATATATTTTTGTAAACAAAATACATATTGTCAAACTTTTAAAGTAATTGTTCTGTTACTTTCCTTAAGGGTTAGAATGTTCTATGACAAATATCATGTACATGAAATTAGGAATGGAGTGATATAAAAGTTTACCAGTGGTTTTAAAAAATTATATGGACCAGGCACAGTGGCTCACGCCTGTAATCCCAACACTTTGGGAGGCAGAGGAGGGCACATGATGGGGTCAGGAGTTCGAGACCAGCCTGGCCAACATGGTGAAACCCCACCTCTACTAAAAATACAAAAATTAGCCAGGTATGGTGGTGGGTGCCTGTAATCCCAGCTACTCAGGAGGCTGAGGCACGAGAATCGCTTGAAACTGCAAGGCGGAGGTTGCAATGAACAGAGATCACGCCATTGCACTCCAGCCCGGGCAACAAGAACTCAACACCGTCCAAAAAAAAAAAAAAAAAAAAAATTTATATTACATCCTTATAACATGGAATGAAAGCAAATCTGAGCATATGCTGATGTAATCAGATCTGTGATCTTTATTAAAATGTAAATTACCAAATAATCTCTAACAAAACAACTCACAGTGTTTTAAATTGCAAAGAAACGTTTCCTACCTTGCCTGCTTCTCTTTCTAAGTCGACATACTCTCGGCTAGGTGTTTGTCGCTGTTCTCCCTGCCAGCTGGCCGGAAAAAACTGGAGAGACAGATTGGTTCCTGTGGCCACAAAAGCCTTTTAGAAAAATCAATACAAACAGGATCAGGAGCAGGACATTACATAAATTATGCAGGCAGTCATTTATTTTTACATCAGTTTATGTCTTAAGTCAGGCAGCACAGAGAATACTTAAAAGTAAAAAAACATGCACTCATCATTTTTCTTAAGTATTAAGTTACAAACATCTGATTCCATTTTGAGGACATTTGCCATTGGCTGCTTAATATAAAATCAGACATGGAATCAATACTTTCTTTCAGGTCATTTTTTGCTGACGTTAGGATCTCACACTGCTAATGTCTAACCAGAAGCCACCATCCATCCTTGCATTTAAAAACTTCTATTTTTAAATGTAAAAATCACTGAAAATCTAAAGGTTTTGAATTTTAAAGAACACTTCAATTTAAAGTTGTATAAATGAGACACTTTAATTTTCCTTGATTTCCCTTGCTGAAAGAAACACTGCATGGCAGGCAGTACATAAAAAATGCACTTGGAATTTCTGTCTCTCCTCTGATAAACCATACATTAGCATGCGATGTCACAGTACTCTCTAAAACCCTAGATGATTTTTAAAAATACGTCTTTTCTAATATTTGACTTTAGGAGAACTTGATCCGACTACAACGGAGAGAAAAGTATTCATCTAATATTTATAAAAGATTTGGATGTTAGAGCTCAACAGATGGAACGATCTAAAACCATTTCAATAAAGTGTCATTTTATGTAGCCCTTGAGCAAGTTACCTCTATATTTCCCTCATGCAAAAAACAAAGACATTACCCCTTTCCCAAAGGAAATTAAGAAAAAAAGAAGTAAAAGCATTTTTGAAAAAATACATTTTTCATCATCTAAATGTAAACTCTTCTTTGCTGAAACCAGAAACAGTTTTTTGTGGCCGGGCGCGGTGGCTCACGCCTGTAATCCCAGGACTTTGGGAGGCCGAGACAGGCGGATCACAAGGTCAGGAGATTGAGACCATCCTGGCTAATAAAGTGAAACCCCCTCTCTACTAAAAATACAAAAAATTAGCCAGGCGTGGTGGTGGGCGCCTGCAGTCCCAGCTACTTGGGAGGCTGAGGCAGAAGAATGACGTGAACCCGGGAGGCGGAGCTTGTAGTGAGCCAAGATCGCACCACTGCACTACAGCCTGGGTGACAGAGCAAGACTCCGTCTCAAAAAAAAGTTTTTTGTTTGGTTTATTCTACTAATTAAGTTCAGAAGCATTATTTGTTTCCATGCATACAGTCTTCATCTCAAATTAAGAGGTTCACATTTGGGGCAATTTGTTTAAAGCCAACAACCAATTTGGCTATCCAATAGTTCCCTGATGGTTAACAGCTTAGACTCTTTAGAGGTAAAAATTATCCTTCCTATTTCTATTACTGGCACTGTCAGTACACTTGTCAACCTAAATGCTAAATCTCTAAACCTCTTTGATGGCATTTCCCTAATCAACTGGGGTACCATTTTCATGTGGTAAATGTTTTATATGCATAGAAACTGAACTAACATCAATATTACAACATCATTTTTAAAAATCTTTCAGGCCAAGAGTGGTGGTTCACGCTTGTAATCCCAGCACGTTGGGAGGTGAGACGGGTGGACCACCTGAGGTCAGGAGTACAAGACCAGCCTGGCCAACATGGTGAAACCCTGTCTCTACTAAAAATACAAAAAATTAGCTGGACGTGGTGGCAGACACCTGTAATCCCAGCTACTTGGGAGGCTGAGGCAGGAGAATCACTTGAACCCAGGAGGCAGAGGTTGCATGCAGTGAGCTGAGATTGCACCACTGTGGTCCAGCCTGGACAACCAGGTGAGACTCCATTTCAAAAACAAGAAAAAACAAAAAACAAAAAAAACTTCCCATGCACTATGAGCATAAGTCTTAGAACCCCCCAACACTAGTTCAAACAAAAAAGGAGTTTCTGGGAGGGAAACTGCCCAGGCTGTATGACCTGAAGCATACCTCAGTTTCCTCACAAATTAATTATTTGTAAAGTGCTTAAAACAGTACCAAGTAAATGTTACGAAAGTGTTTGCTGAATGATATGAGAAATAACTTTAAGTTCAACAAGAAAGCCAACTTTTTCAGCTTCAGATAATGAAATTCTCAGAGCAGAGTGGTGGCAGAAAAGAGACTCAGCACATGAATGAATGCCCTGTGTCAAAATCCCTGTGGTGTGCTTCTTCAGTAGCAAATCCTTCCACCTCCAGTGTACCCCAAATCAGCTCTGTGCCAAGACACTCTGCAGATCATATTACCTCATCTCCTGTCTTGATGCCAACCTCAGAAGAGATTTCCTGCTTCATCACTATATGTCCATTATCTCATAAAGATCGCTCTCTGAGACAGAAGTGGTAAACACAGATCATTCTAGAAAAGCATTTTCCAAACTTATCTGACCATAGAACTCTTTTAATGAGATACCTACATATACGTAAGAGTTGGAAAAAGTCTGTTCCAAAATATTAATGTGGTGTCAACATTGTCATAGGAAAATAAAGAAAAAAAGAAACAAAATGAAAACATTAAAATGCTACACTGGTATGACGCCTATATTTAAGATTTCCAGGTTGTCTTATGTTTTATAGGTTTCACAAATTATAAAATAGCACACCTTGAGACAATCCAACATACTTTTTACCATTCATTCTTCAGAATTAGAAATATGTATTGGTTTTTACTCTTCTCACCATAGAGTAACCATACTTCTCATAAATATTTTTTCTTTAATTGATTATTAGTGTTGAAGACATCTCCAACACTCTTACTACATAATTGGTAAGCATAGGCCAGGTACGGTGGCTCAAGCCTGTAATCCCAGCACTTTGGGAAGCCAAGGCAGGCAGATCACGAGATCAGAAGCTCGACACCAGTCTGGCCAACATAGTGAAACCCTATCTCTACTAAAAATACAAAAAATTAGCTGGGTGTGGTGGTGTGCGCCTGTAATTCCAGCTACTCGTGAGGCTGAGGCAGGAGAATCGCGAGAACCCAGGAGGCGGAGGTTGCAGTGAGCCAAGATCTTGCCATTGCACTGCAGCCTAGCCGACAGTATGAGACACCGTCTCAAAAAAGAAAAAAAAAAAAAAACCGTGAAACCCTGTCTCTACTAAAAATACAAAAACAAAATTAGCCAGGCGCGGTGGCAGGCGCCTGTAGTCCCAGCTACTCGGGAGGCTGAGGCGGGAGAATGATGTGAACCCAGGGGGCGGAGCTTGCAGTGAGCTGAGATAGGGCCACTGCACTCCAGCCTGGGCAACAGAACGAGACTCCAACTCAAAAAAAAAAAAAAAATTCGTAAGAATAAATCAAGGCTGGGTGCAGTGGCTCACGGAAGCAGGCAGATCACTTGAGGCCAGGAGTTGGAGACCAGCCTGGCCAACACAGTGAAACCCATCTCTACTAAAAATACAAAAACCACACAGGCATGATGGCAGGCACCTATAATAATCCCAGCTAGTCGGGAGGCGGAAGCAGGAGGCGGAGGTTGCAGCCAATGGAAATGGCACCACTGTACTCCAGCCTAGGTGACAGAGTGAGATCCAGTCTCAAAAAAAGAATAAATCAGATTCTACCACAGATTCTTCTATTGGTGTTCACTTTTATTTAATGCTGATTAGGTTTTACAGTTAAAAACTCAATTGGCATAAAATAAGGGGGCTGATTTTTATAGTTAGAGAGAGATGATCAACACATCCTTAAATTATTTCACATCTAAATGCAAAATGAGGCTGGGAGTGGTGGCTCACACCTGTAATCCCAGCACTTTGGGAGGCCGAGGTGGGTGGATCACCCGAGGTCAGGAGTTCGAGACCAGCCTGGCAAACATGGTGAAACTCCATCTCTACTAAAAATACAATTAATTAGCCGGGTGTGGTGGTGTATGCCTGTAATCCCAGCTACTCAGGAGGCTGGGTCAAGAGAATCACTTGAACCTGGGGGACGGAGGTTGCAGTAAGCCAAGATCGTGCCACTGCACTCCAACCTAGGCAAAAGCAGAATGACTTCTTCATTTACCTCACTGATACGTTAAGGAGACATTCAAAATAAGAAGAGGACGACTGGGGCAGGAGAAAGGTTGGGAATAGTTTTGAGAACTGTGGATATTCTTGCCATTTATGGCTGCTGTCAAAACAGGCAAAATAATGCCTTTTTCCACAGCCAAATAGAAAGAAACCATGGCCTGTTCATAAGTAATAAGATAAATTTCAGGCATTAAATTAAGTAGCCTCTAAATTCAAATAATCAAGTACCTATGGTATTGTGCAAAATACCTGTATCCAGAGGGGTTTATACAGAATTAATGAGGTCTCCACCCTCTAGGAGCTAAGGATCCTGTAATTAAATGTGGGTTAACACTAAATTAAAGGAGGGAAACTAGAAAGAGAAAAAACTAGGAAATGTGAAATTCCTCTCCAAATACCAATAGTTACATTACTTAACAAAATAAGACCTGTGTCGTCTTAAGTGCAAACCTCACACAGCATTCAATCTACCTTCTTTAACCTTTAATACTTTTCAGAAATTTAAAACTTATAAAATGTGTCGGATTAGACATTTGTTTTATTTTTGGAGACAGGGTCTCACTCTGTCACCTAGGCTGGAGTGCAGTGGTGCGATTATGGCTCACTGCAGCCTCGATCTCCCAGGCTCAGGTGAGGATCAGATATTTGGAAGCAGGAAAAGTCTAGAATGTCTAACTCATCCTGGAAAGAAATTTAAGACAAACACTAACCACCTATAACACTACTATAATATTACGGCATTTCAGATATCCCATGGGTTTAATTCATAATTCCATTCAGCAAAGTCTGAAATGACAGAAAACACCCTACTAGCTATGATTCACCATTCCAAAAAAATTCAGCTTTCAAAAATAGTGATAATAATATAATACATGGGGCGGCGTATGGTGACACCGAGCCTGGTAGTCCCAGCTATTGGGAGGCTGAGACAAGAGGATCGCTTGAGCCCAGAAGTTTGAGGCTGTAGTGCCTTATGATTATGTCTGTGAACAGTCACTGCACCCCAGCCTAGGCCACACAGCAAGACCTCTCTCTTAAAAAAAAAAAAAAAAAGGCCGGGCGCGGTGGCTCACACTTGTAATCCCAGCACTTTGGAAGGCCGAAGTGGGAGGATCATTTAAGGTCAGGAGTTCAAAACCAGCCTGGTCAACATGGTGAAACCCTGTCTCTACTAAAAATACAAAAAAATTAGCTGAGCGTGGTGGTGTGTGCCTCTAATCCCAGCTACTCAGGAGGTCGAGGCAGGAGAATCGCTTGAACCTGGGAGACAAAGATTGTAGCGAGCCAAGACTACATCATGCTGCTGCACTCCAGCCTGGGTAATAGAGCGGGACTCCATCTCAAAACAAACAAAAAAGCAAACATTGACAGTACAAATACTTTGTATCTTATCTTTTATACTTGCATCCTTTACCTCCAGGAAATTCCATCCTCAAGTGTACCACCTTCCTTTTGCAAAAGGTAACCCAGGCAAAGGATGACACGATCATCGCACCAGCTAATGAATTATTTTCTTATACCACTCAGTGACAAAATCTAAAAGCATGTCTTATGCACTTCAATCATATAAATAATACAATTACTCAAGAAACTTGCAAGTGGGCTAAAAGCTTGAGACTGTCTTTCATAACATGCACTAATGACCAAATATTCAGGAGCTCCTATAAATTTAACCAGTATCTTCTCACTATTACAATTCTAAAAAGCCTTCACTTAAAATATCAAGATATTCTTTAAAATTAAATTTGAGTTCAGTGATGAAAAGGAAGAGTTTTATGGCATATGAATTATATCTGAATAAAAATAAACTGGTTTTATAAAGGGGGTGGGAGGAGTAAATTTCCAATATGTCTTCCTACTATTAACCCAAATTCAAATCGCATCTAACTTCAAGCCTCTGACAATGCAATAGGTCTAAGTCACCCAGCAGATAGTAACAGCATTCCATTAGACAGCGCTTTAACTTTTTAAAAAATAATCAGGCCGGACGTAGTGGCTCACGCCTGTAATCCTAACACTCTGGAAGGTCGAGGAGGGCGGATCACTTGAGGTCAGGAGGCCAGCTTGGCCAACATGGTGAAACCCCGTCTCTACTGAAAATACAAAAATTAGCCGGGCGTGGTGGCAGGCACCTGTAATCCTAGCTACTCAGGAGGCTGAGACACGAAAATCGCTTGAACCCAGGAGGCGGAGGTTGCAGTGAGTGGAGATCGAGCCACTGTACTCCAGTCTGGGCAACAGAGCAAGACTCTACCTCAAAAAAATAATAATCAACCTCTTTTCTCGGTTTCTTCCTACCATTCTCTCCTCATCAGCACCTCCAACAAGGCAAACCAAAAGGAGATGAGAGGAACTAGGACCCTTGAATTTTTTCTTCAACCCAAGATCTGGTGAAGACACACCAAATCTGCCTCCTAAAACGAGGACCTCGAGATCAACCGTGAGTTTCGCCCATCTGTGCATTTTAGGAACGGCAGCCCTACTCGAGACATGGGGATAATGGTTTATCTCTGATTCTCCTGAAGCTTAACATTCTAAAAAAATGACACTTTTAAGGCCTTTTCCCCCCGTTTCCTCTCTATTAGGACAATAAATAACTGGAGAAAAGATTTCTTCTCGGCGATCTAGGAGTGAGACCGCTTGACAGAGAATCACCGAGAGCTCACCTTTTAAGAAACAAACTATCGCCGACCTTGAATGAAGCTCCGGTTGTTTTTCCGAATGGGGGTTTGCTTGCTTGCTACAAATACCCTGAACCCTTCTCCTTGGTGTAGCCGCCTAAACAATGCCCTTCACTTGTTTAGTCTGGCTCGGGTTCGAGCCCCACTCGCGGTGCTCCATTGGCCGACACGCGCCACCGCGGGGGGCCCCAGGGAAAGCGTCTCCTCGCGAGCACCGGCCCGCGGCGTCTGGTTTCGCATTTTGAAACCCGAGTAGGAAGTGAGACGGCGCCCGCTCAGTTCCGGGAGCCGCGGCAGCCGCGCCGCCGTCCGGAACCGGCCTGGGCCGCGGCCGCCCGGCGCAACAAGTGACCCGCGCGCGCCCCTGTCTGCGCCCCGGGCCCGCCGACTTACGATTTCCGAGCGGCCGTCGCGGCAGGCGTTCTGGAAGCGCGCCTGGCGCTCCTCGTGGGGCCGGTCCCTGAAGCCCGTGTACTTAATCTGCAAGGCAAGACGGCCCGAAATCAGGAGTCAAATCCGCGGCGCCGCCCGCGCGCCCGCCCTCCCAGCGCGGCGCCGATAAAGGCAAGCAGAGGCTGCGGGCGACGGCCGCCCAGGCGAGATTGCCCCTCCGCAGGCGCGCCGACCGGGACTCCCGGGGACCGCGCCGCCCAAACTTTTCTTCGCCCGGGCCCACTCGGGGCGCGCTGCGGCCTCCTAGCCGCCCGCCCGCCTCACCTCACACTCGCGGCTCAGCTTCCTAAAGAACTCCTCGTTCTCGAACTTGCTTCTCTGGTCGGGCACGACGCGCGGCATCTTCCCGCCCTGAGGCCGCGCCGGCCAGCCGCGCTCGGGGCTTGCGCGGGCACCCGCTGGCTGGCTCCGCGCTGACCGACTGACCGCCCACCCGCGGCGCCCGGACGCCCGCTTCCCTTTGTTTCAGGCGCCCGCCCGCGTGGGCTCCCGTTCCGAGGAGTCGGAGGCGCCGCTGCCCGCTCGAACCCAACCCACGCCGCCGCCGCCGCCGCCGCCGCCTCAGCCGTTGCCTGCCGCCCGCGCAGCCCCAGCTCTCGCCGCCCCCAGCCGCCGCCGCCGCCGCCGCCACTTCCTCTCACCGCCCACCCCGCCCCCGCCGGCCCCACCCCTCCTCCTTGCGAGCCCGCCCGCCTCCAACTCCAGCAAACAAGACGCACCATTCACAACTCCGCGGCCCGCGCCGCGCATGCGCCACCCGCCCGCTGGCTAAGCAGCGGGGCTGTGGCGCCCCGGAGCTCCTTCCGCAGCGCTGCCCTTTTCCCGCTGCTCGCCCGCGGTCACTCGGCGTGGAGCTGCCGTGGGGGGATCCGCCTGCCTTTTAGCAGACGGGAGTAGCTAACGCAGGCCTTTTCTTCCGCCCTTCCTCGGCCATCTGGAACTTCTGGGTTCCCCAGGTGCGCGGAGTAACCCCAGATTGTCATTTGAACGCGAGGAAACCTAAGTCCTTGGGGACTTTTCGTCCCTAAACCGACCGGTAGGGGTGTAGGCTGTGTACGTTGAAGACTGAGGTGGAAATGGACCGAAGAATCCAACCAAGGCATGGTGGAAAGGTCGTGGCTGTTGGAGTCAGATGGGTCTTAGATGGGATCCCACTCAGCTACACTACCTGCTGGCTGGGGCCTTAGACAAGAACTGGACCACTAAACCTCAGTTTCCTTATTTCCAAAATGCAGACACTCCTAAGTTTGCAGTGTTAGCGTGAGAACTGTTACGTGGGTCTAGCACACAGTGGGAGCCCAATAAATTTAAGTTTCTAAAGAAGAACAAGCTGCGTTAAGAATGTAACCGATTGCCAGTCTTACTTACTCAGTGTGCAATCAGCTGCAAAAAAAATAAGATCCATAAGTTCTAGGGAAGTCGTTTAGCCCAAACTGGAGAAAGTCTGACATGGGATTTATGGCAGAGTTTCATTCAAAGTTAGTCCTGTGGCCGGGCGCGGTGGCTCATACCAGTAATCCCAGCCCTTTTTTTTTTTTTTTTTTTTTTAAACAGAGTCTTGCTCTGTCGCCCAGGCTGGAGTGCGATGGCGTGATCTCGGTTCACTGCAACCTCCGCCTCCTGGGTTCAAGTGATTCTCCTGCCTCTGCCTCCCGAGTGGTTGGAATTACAGGCGCCCACCACCATCCCCGGCTAAATTTTTTTGCATTTTTAGTAGAGAAGGGGTTTCGTCGTGTTAGTCAGACTGGTCTCGAACTACTGACCTCAGATGATCTGCCCGCCTCGGCCTCCCAAAGTGCTGTGATTACAGGCGTGAGCCTCTGCGCCTGGCCTAATCCTAGCACTTTGGGAGGCCGAGGCGGGCTGATCACCTGAGATCAGGAGCTTGAGGCCAGCCTGGTCAACATGGCAAAACCCCATCTCTACTAAAAGTACAAAAATTAGCCAGGTGTGGTGGCACACGCCTGTAGTCTCAGCTACTCAGGAGGCTGAGGCAGGAGAATCGCCTGACCCCAGGAGGTGGAGGTTGTAGTGAGCCGAGATGGTGCCACTGCACTCCAGCCTGGGCCACAGAGCAAGACTCCATCTCAAACAGCTACTCGAGAAGCTGAGGCAGGAGCATGGGTTGAACCTGGGAGGCAGAGGTTGCAGTGAGACAAGATCGTGCCATTGCACTCCAGCCTGGGTGACAAGAGCATAACCCCGTCTCGGGGGTGGGGTGGGGGGGGGGAACTCCATGAAGAAGCATTCTTGTTCCACAATGGGTCCAAGGAGGGCTCACAGACCTCCAAGTTGATCTTGGCCAAAGACTCCAGCAATAATTGTTTCTGCCATGGGAAATGTGGAATAAATAAAAGTTGAAAGATCTCTAGAATGGCCTTGATGGCCAGACAGACACTATGAGCTTAGACAAGGTCAGGGTCAAGGGAGCTGGACCTGGAGGGGTGGGAGTACAGAGCAGGGCAGGGCGCTCTCATTGTCAGCCTCATGGAGGGGAGGAATGATGTCCTAAGGGAAAGGGACAGCAAAGCCTGCCAAGCAGACCCAGAACAGCAGCCCCACAGACAGCCTTGGGCAACTGCAGGCCACAGGGTAACCCACACTCGGTGTAGTCTGGCATTCAACAGCCAGGATGACTGGGAAATAAGCCACATACTGAAGAAGGCCATCTCCTCAGCTAACCTCTATATGCCTTTTTGGTGGTTGTTTAAATTTTTTTCACTTCTTTTAAAAAACTGAATTAAAGGAAATTTATAAAGGAAACTTTCACCCATGTAAGGTACACTTAAGTGTGTGCTTCTAACAGCTTTGGCAGCTGTTGAGTTGGGTATGGGTTAGCCCAGACACTATGCTATGGGTGTTTGCTAAGGGGGTTTGCTAAGATCCAGCTCTACTAAGGCCCACACATGGAAGCTTGCAGGTGTCTCTTCTGTGCCAAGAAACATCTGCCCCCACCGTCCCAAAACCTGACTGAATTATCTGAAGTCCTATCATCTGGAATCTTCCTTTTGTAAGGATTCAAGCCAACCAAGGGTCTTCTCTGAGTACCTCCCTAACTTCCTAGGTGGGTGCCTGCTCCTGCAGACTCCTAAAGCTGATCTTGGGTGGGTAAATAGATAATACACAATGAAGCTGAGCAGAGTGCAGGAACCTTCACTTGCCTAGTGCAACTGTGAAGCTCTGTTCAGGGTGCCTTCATGCACCTTATCTCAGTTAGTTGACACAACCACCTCCTTTCTTTTTTTCTTTTTTTGAGACAGAGTCTTACTCTGTTGCCCAGGCTAGAGTACAATGGTGCGATCTTGGCTCACTGCAACCTCCACCTCTCAGGTTCAACCGATTCTCCTGCCTCAGCTTCCTGAGTAGCTGGGATTACAGGCGCCTGCCACCATGCCCAGCTAATTTTTGTATTTTTAGTAGAGAAGGACAGGCTAGTCCCGAACTCCCAACCTCAGGCGATCTGCCCGCCTCAGCCTCCCAAAGTGCTGGGATTATAGGCGTGAGTCACTGCACCTGGCCCACACAACCATCTTCTAAGTCAGGTCTCATGTCTCCATCTGAGAGATGAGGAAACAGACTTTGAAAAAGTAAATAAGGCCAGGAGCGGTGGCCAGCCTCCATTTTGTTATTTCAAATGGATCAGGGTCTCGTCACTGTCCTTTTATACTTTCTCTTTTTTTTTTTTTTTTTTTTTGAGAGAGAGTGCACACCTGTAATCTCAGCACTTTGGGAAGCAGAAGTGGGAGGATCACTTGAGGCCAGGAGTTCGAGACCATCCAGACAACAGAGTGAGACACCCCCTCCAACTCTAAAGAAACTAGCTAAGCATTGGGATACATCATCTTCATTCCTTCCTATAAGTTTAGTATTATTGATCCTATTCTACAGAAGGGCCAACTGAGATTCACAGGTGCTAAGTGACCCCACGGTGGTGATTTTAATCATTCTACTCTGAGACCTAGTGGAGATACCAAAAGTCCTGCCTGCCACCCTCACTGAACTGCACACTCGTAGAAGGCTATGTCTGGGGTCATTCCTCTGGGAGCACCCCAACATGTTCTAGAAGGGTTCCCACAGGTTGAAGAAAGGGGGGGTTCTATTGTGGGCCTTGTGGCAAGATGTGGGTCTGCCCTTGAGGGCTGTGCATTCCTACCTCTGAGCCTGTTTGTCCCTTCTTGACTTGGAAGATCGAAATCTAGATGTTCTGCCTCCACAGGCCCAGCAGGAAGGAGGGTTTTATCCAGGTCTGGTGTCAGCAGCCACCCATCTTTGCCTCTCCTCACAGAGGAGGTCTCTGAGCCTCTGATGCGTTTTTTCTAAGGAAATAGTTTCCCTTCAGTTACTGAGAAAATATTGTACCATCTTGAAGTTGAAATAGGATCTGGAGCCACAAATGAGACTTGAGAGGAGTGGGAGACAAGGAAAATTAGTGGCTGGCACATTGCCTAAAACCCTGGCTCCACTCAGCTTCTAGTTTTTAGAAGGCAATGGGCCTTAATCCAGGATGAGGATGTCATCTGCCCAAGTGTGGCAGTTTCCTGGGCCCTAAAGAATTTTTTTCTTTTTGAGATATAATTTATATACTGTAAAATCCACCCTTGGGCCCAAAGAATCTCCCCTCCGTCCCAGGGGCATCTCCCTCTTCTGAGCCCCCCAGCCACCCTCCCCCAGCTCAGCCATCCCATAGGGAAAGGAAAGCAGAGAGGAGCAAGTTTCCCCAGAATAGCATTTCTTTAGTGTTGGGATCAATAAACCCGTTTGCTTAAAAGGAACCAGATGATTTCATCCTTGTAATTATAAGTTTGACGTTTGCAAATCTTGCCCGGGCTCCAAATGAGCCTCTTTGTCATCGGGGTTGGGGGTGGAGGAGTTTCTCTGGGTGCCTGGGGATGGCAGGACTCAGCCTACTGTGGTGGGAAGAGTGCCAAGCTGGGGTCGGGAAGCCTGGCTGCTGATCTTAGAGGGCTGCCTTGGACTGCTCTCCTTCCCCTCCCCTGCTCTCCTAGTTTCTGACAAGTGATGGGAAACAGACGAGACTAGGGGGCTAGGAAATAATAATAATGATAATAACGATGATAATGGTAGTAATAATAATAATATAATGTGGTGAGAGCTGGGGTAAGCTCTAACCACACCACGCTCCTGCTTAAGACCCCTCCCCCAAGACTGAAGAAACTTGGGGCAGAAAGACAAAGGCCCTCAGCCTAGCATTCATGACCCCCTGACAATCCCTACTTTCCAACACTATCTCCTATCATTTCTCCCCATGGCACCCTGCAATCCAGCCATACTGGCCTGTTTCCATTCCCCACATGCCCATACCATGACTTCCTTCTGTTTCTCTACTGGGAAAACTCATCGTTCTTCTTTCTTTCTCTTTTGGGGGAGGGTCTTCCTGTTTCACCCAGGCTGGAGTGCAGTGGTGCAATCACAGCTTACTGCAGCCTTGACCTCCTGGGGTCAAGCAATCCTCCCACCTCAGCCTCCTGAGTAGCAGGTTGCTGGGACTACAGGTGCCACCATGCCTGGGTAATTAATAAAAAAAAAAATTTTTTTTAGAGATGTGGTCTTACTACGTTGTCCAGGCTATACTTTTTCTTTAA